AAACATAAATTTCACGTATTAAATTAATTATTAACGTAATCATAACCAACGTGGAACATAACCTGTAACATAACTATTTAATAGATCATAACCTATCCAATAATTACACGTCTTACTATAAACCAATGAAAACGTTTAAAAATTTTAATGTAATTACAGAATATTCTATAAAACCTGCTTTTTATTAACATTACACATAGTAAACAAATAACTGAAATATAAAAGAAATCGTCTGTACGGCAATAAGATATTTCGTTACGTAATTAAATAATTTACAATATTAATTACATATCGCGAAGAGATTAGGAAAACATTATTTATTCTATATTTCTCTACGTATATATTTATTTTTTAGTGAATCGTTAAAACCCGGACATGACATTTCACAGCTGACACACGAACCGCTGGCAAAATTTTGAGTCAAATCAACCGTATCGTACCTCGTTTAAAAGCTGAACAATAAATTTGATGCTCTATTTCAATAATATAGTTCCTTTGGGTGTCACTACAGATAATAACAAATCTGTGAAAATACAAGTTGTTAGTAATAAGATATTCGATTCTCGTCAAATTGTCACTTCATCATCATATGTTTTGATATTCCAGAACACGTATATTTAGTCCCTAGCTGTTCAAGATCGCCAACTTTAAAATGGAAAAAAATTCTATAAAGTACAAACCTTAGAAATCACTATCTCATTCCGTTTTTTATTGGATCTTCTGATTAATTGACTAATAGAAGAACTTAAATCTCTTCAGTGATACGAGAATTTTAAATTCACGTGGAACACACTGAAACGTTAAAATTTACTGAAATAAAATAGCACACGCGTTTCGAATTTTTTATTTTTAATCGATGTATTTTTATGAGTGTTGAGTACATCTTCTAACAACCTTGTATAAGTAAATATTGTTGTGGCATAAGAAAATATATTTATTTTTTAATCTATGTAAACATTATAAATATTTATAAAATATAGCATCTAATAATTTAACAATATTACTGAGAATTATGGATTCACCAGTATCACCACAAACACCTTTAAGTTTTGAATTAAAAGCAATTATAAATAATAGAAATGTATTAAGTATGAGGAGCCGCATGAGAGGTATGGTTGACAATTTATTATTCTATCTATAATACAATTTAAACATATAATATAATATTTATTTTTTCAGTACTTAATAGTTTAAATGAAAGTAATAAAAAATATTTAGAAGAAAAGGAAAAGAATTTGAGATCCCAAGCTATTCAAGAGATTTTAACAACAGAAGTTACTTATTTACGACAATTAGAAATCTTAATGGAGGTATTTTATTTATATTTATCTTTATTTAATAATGTTCATAATTACTAACAGAATTAAATAAAATTATATTATTTAAGTTCTTCATACAACCCATGTTTGAGAGAAAGCTATTGGACCATGTTTTACTTTCAACATTATCTGAAAATATAAAAACATTATATAACGTTAGTGGAGAATTGGTAAAGGAATTAAAACAAGATCCACAGAATATAGCGGGTGCATTTCATAAGCTTGCACCCTTCTTTAAGTTATATTCTGTTTATGCTTACGATTTTGAACAAATTTTGTCCTTACTACAGGTAATATGTTACTCAAAAATTCTAAATTAAAAGTTATGTTTATATTATAAAACATATTGTAATAATACTATACATTATATAAGTAATATTCTTTTCAGTCGAAACAAGAGAATAATTTTGTATTCAAAGATTTTATTAGTAAACAAGAATCAAGGCCTGAAGTTGCTAGAAAATTGCCTTCATTATTAATTACACCAATACAAAGGGTACCTAGATATAAATTACTTTTACAGGAAGTCATGCAACATACTCCTACCAAACATAAAGAATACAATCTTTTGCAAGGTAAGTATACAGTAAAATTGAAAATTTTACTTTTGATATACAACTATATTCTATCAGTATTTAGTAATGTATCAAATGAACTTTGTAGCTTGTTTAGTGGAAGTGGAAAAAGCAGCAAGACATATAAATGGATTAGTTGAGGAACATGAGGAGGCACAAAAATTATTAAAACTTCAGAAATGTATTGTGAATCCAATTAATTTAGTAAAACCTGGTAGAAAATTGATTAAACAAGGATCATTAATGAGAGTCTCAAGACGAGGAAATTCTGCATATAGAAGATACTTTATCCTTCTTAGTGATACTTTATTATATTGCAAGGGAGATCCAGAAACCTCATTAACTGTTTGTTGTGTTTTACCATTGAACAAATGTAAAGTAGAATGTGTTTTGGGTGGTGGACTGTTTCGTGTTACTTGTTTAAATGAGACACTCTTACTTTATTCTGAGAAGGACGATAGCCATTTATGGGTAGAAGCAGTGCAAAATTCTATAAAAAAGGTATTATTTTATTTGAACTATTTTATATATTAAAATTCATACAATCGATTTTATCATTTCAGTATGCAGAATGTAGACAGACCTTAAGAAAAGATAGTAGTTCAAGGAAACCATTAAGGCACAATAATCTTAATTTATTTCCATCTGAAAATATACCAATTGCTGTTGGTAAAAGAAAAAGATCAGATGAAGAAACTGAGGTTAATACAATAACCTGTTTATTAACAAAATTATTCTCTTATTTGTAAATAAATTGTAACACAAACTTCATACATATTTATGTTAAATTAACAGGTTAATTTGGATGCATCAAGAATTATGTATCTCAAAAAGGATAGCGAAGCAGATGCAGGTGCACAATTAGAAAGTAATTGGTTCATACTACTAAAAAAATTAAAAAGGTTAAAAAATAGTACTAGCACAGAATGTATTGAACCCTGTTTGCAAAATATTAATTATGTAAGTTTTAGTAACCCATACACAGTTAATAATAAAGTTAGTAGGTATTAGTGATTAATTCATATTTTTTACAGAATGTTAAGGGAAAAGAAAATGAACATTCCATAAAAAATACCACGCCATGTTCATCTCCTGCTACACCTTCAAATTTTGAACAGCAAACTACATCAACATTTAAATCTGTTACTGAATTCTTTTCATCTATTGGATCTTCATTAAAAGGATTTTTTAGATTTAGATAACAAAGTTCAGTTTATGTGTTGTAATAAAAATTGACGAAATAATGAAATAAGTAATTTATATGCGTGTGTATATTGTTTAATTTTCTATTAAAAGTATTTGGAAAATAACTTTAAAAATAATTTACTTATTTAAATAATGCACATGTATTGTCTATACAGCATTACCTAAATTTCTTCAAGTAGGAAATATCAAAAAACAAATAACTAGTCGTCGCACTTAAAAATAAAGTTTCATATTTCGTTATACGAAGTTTCCAAATTTTGATAAAAATGCAAATTATAAATATTTTTTGTTATTTATTATTATACAGAAATAATCATTCGTTAATTTTTAAAAGACAAAAATATATCGACTTATAACAAAAATCCCCACGCTTGTCCAAACGAAGTCATGACCGATACCTGTAAATGATAAGAGAATCGGATTTTTTATCATACAATAAAAAAATATTATTTCTGATTCAGGTAGGACAGATCTTTAAGTATGTAACCGAAGATAAGAAAGATAATACGCTCACGTAAGAAAGATAGTAATCATCAATGCGACAAGTAGTATACCTTTAATGTCAAAAACAGTTCCGATAAGAAAAGAAGTTAAATTTTGATTTTAAATTACAATTTTTTCATTTATATGTAAGATTAGTATGTTTAGAATATTATTTTAGTTTAAAAATTTATATGTTAAAATTTAGTTAAAATACAAGTGAAGTTTATAGTAGGTTATGTTTACATATTATGGTAAAATAACTTTAAATGAAATCAACAATTGTACCTCCAAAATTATGGATATTTTGTAATTTTAAAATTATGAAAAAGAAATATTTTTTTTAAAGAAGGATACGGGGATCTCGTGGAAAATTTCACATTTTTATAAAAACATACATATGATAAACATTAAAAATAGTTCAATAATTTTAGATATTAATGAAAATATAAAGTTACTTATTTTCGATATAGTAACTGATCAATTGTTAATTATTTATTTATTGTACACAGTGTATATTTGGAAAAAAAACCGTATAGCGAAGAACTTGTTATCTTCTTGACTTCTTTGTACTTCAAACATATACTTCTTAAAGTACTTTGAACTTATCTTGAAGTAATATTTGTGTGAAAAAATAGATTACTACACAAAAATATTTGATTTTTAATTGTAACTGTAATAATAAAAGGTCTGAAGTTTTTTTGTGATTTAATGCAAATGTTTGTAAAATTAAAATAATATACATTCGTTATAGAAAACACAAAACATTTGAAACATGAATGGTATAATTCCTGAAATGGAACAAATCATCAGTCAACTCGAAAGGGGGACTATAGTAACAAAATTTTTTCCAAGGAAGAGACCAGAGAAAAAGACTCTTATGATACGAAGAGAAACTAGGCAAATTGTTTGGGCAAGAAGCGCAACATTTAGACCTTTTGATGGTTCAGGTAAAAGCGTCATTTTGTTTTGCAAGAAAATGTATGTTTTCCAAGAATGTAATATAACTTGAAAAATGAAAAAGATATATTGAAATTATTGTATAATGATTAATTGCTGATATTTCTGTATATAGTGTATAACTTTAAATTGAAAGAAAATAACAATATGAATGAACATATATTTTTGAGTATTTTGAGTAACGTTCTTATTAAATGACATATGTTAAATTAGTAACAATACTATTAAAATAAAATTCGACCTACATTTTAGGCACACATTTTGCATGGTTATGAAGATATATCTACAGCAAAAATGGGCAAAATATTATCTGAGGATACTAGTTATAGGTCAGAAATGTGAAGGAAAGGTCCTTGCGAATAGTATATATATGGGTGAGTTTATGATAAAGATACAACATAAGTCGATTAATAAATTTCATTTAGTAATATGTTTAATTAAATTATATTTTTTTCTAATTTGGTGATTTCATAATTTGATAGTATATAAAATACTATTGTATTATATGTATCTTAGTGGACATTTCCTTCATTTTTGGTCTACAAACAAATATGCCCATGGATACTGTTGATATATTAATCCATCCTATTGGACATCATGGGTATTTAATTTAAGGAAAATAAAATATACTTTTAATTCACCCTTATTACACTGTATTAAAAAATGAATATGAAATGCATATAATTAAAAGTGCAAAATACTTTATATATGTTTAGATTCAAGAATATCTTTTATTTTTTTTTATTTTTTAATATATTAAATACGTATATACATATATATGTATATGTTATGAGTACAATAAATATTAAAAACAGATTGTATTTCTTCTGATTTTAGTTGAAATTAGGGAAATTAAGGAAATTAAGGTAGGAAAACATTCTAAGGATTTTGAAAAATGGCCTGAAGATGCAAAAAGAACAGAGAATCTTAGATGTTTTGTTATATATTATGGTTCAGAATTCCGACTCAAAACGCTTTCAATTTCTGGTAAATATATTCTTGTGTATCTATTATTATGTCAGTGATTGCCCCGATATTTCTTTTTAATATTTATGTATATATATTTTTTTGTCTGACACCTAAATTTTTCTTAAATTATACTTTTTGCATGCACCTGCTTCTATGTATTTATTTCAGCCCTTAGTGAAAAAGAATGTGAACTTTGGGTAAAAGGGCTACGTCGTTTAGTTCAAGATACTATAAAAGCTCCATATCCTTTACAAGTTGAAAGATGGCTAAGAAAAGAGTTTTATGCAATGGAAAATTCAAGAGAAACGTAAAGAAATTTATAATTCTTCACTCATACCTTTAGATTCTTTTTATCTTATGTATATGTGAACGTATTTTGTTATATTTTATATGAATTTTAATAAATTATTTATATATGTCTTAAATTTATTATTTTCATACATACCTAATTTGGTACTTTAAATTTACAGAGTTACAGTGAAAGATGTGAAAGCATTTTTACCTAGAGTTAATTGCAAAGTTGCGACAAACAGACTTAGGGAACTTTTCCAAGAAATAGATACAAGAAATAGAAATGAACTTGGTTTTGATGACTTTGTTGTACTTTACCAGAAGCTTATGTTCGATCAAAATGTAAGTTCTTAATTTATTACACCACTGATATTCATATCACAAATTTAATATTACCTTGTCATTCTTCTTGTTTAATTTGTGTATGAATTATGTATCTGTTTTTGTAGAATTTTACAGAGTGGAGTAAATTGCTAAGTTATTCAGAAACTGGGCCACATATTACTGTTCATGACTTCCAAAACTTCTTATTAACTGAACAGCAGGATCCATTAGGAAATAATGAGATTGAAGTACCATGTTTTATTAGAAACTATTTACAAGATCCCCAAAGAGATGTACAAGAACCGCATTTTACGTTTTCCGAATTCGTTGATTTCTTATTTTCAAAACAAAATTCTGTTTGGGATTCCAAGTATTCTCAAATATACCAAGATATGAAAAAACCCCTTGCACATTATTGGATAGCTTCATCGCATAACACGTAAGAATATTATTTTTGACAAATACATAACCTTTTTCAATGAAAAAAAGAAGAAATACTTACACATTTTTTGTAGATATTTAATGGGAGATCAGATTAGCAGTGAAAGTAGTTGTCAAGCATATGTACGTGCTTTAAGATCTGGTTGTAGGTGCATAGAACTTGATTGTTGGGATGGACCAGATGGGATGCCATTTATTTTTCATGGCCATACACTTACTACAAAAATAAAATTTCTGGATGTCATAAAAACTATCAAAGAGCATGCTTTCGCTACTTCTGAGTAAGAACAAATAAATATTTATTTATTTTATAATAAAAATGAAATTAAAAATGTATGTTTCCTACAGGTATCCTGTAATCTTATCTATTGAGGATAATTGCACGCTGCCTCAGCAACGTAAAATGGCAATTACTATGCAAGAAGTATTCGGTGATATGCTGTTAGTTCAACCTGTAGATAAAAATGAAACTTGTTTACCATCACCGCATCAGTTGAAAAGAAAAATTATATTAAAACATAAAAAGTTACCTGATGGTGTTGATGAGTCATCGTTTCTCATTCGAAATGATGAAAGTAGGCATGAAATGGATCTTAGAAATACTGTGAAAAATGGTATTCTCTACCTTGAAGATCCTGTTAACAAAGAATGGAATCCACACTTTTTTGTACTGACTCAACAAAAGTTATTTTACACAGACACATTTTCTAGAACTCAAGAAACTGAGCACGACGATGATGATGAAGGTGTTATTCGACAACCAACAGATGTATGTACTTATTGTAAATATATTACAAATAATTATCCGATCGAATTCTAATTTTTATTATAACAAAGGGTGTGCCGAACGACGAATTACATTTTGGAGAAAAGTGGTTTCACGGTAAATTAGCAAGAGGCAGAGAAGAAGCAGAAGAATTATTACAGCGTTACTCGCATCTGGGTGATGGTACTTTTTTAGTTCGACAAAGTGTTACATTTGTAGGAGACTACTGTCTTTCCTTTTGGCGTAAAGGCAAAGTGAATCATTGTCACATTAAACCCAAGCAAGAGATGGGTCAAACGCAATATTATCTTATCGACACAAATTATTTTGATAGTTTATATAGTTTAATTACCCATTATCGTAATCATCCACTGAGGAGCCAAGTAAGCACAAATATAATACTCTTTTGCTTTTGGTACTATACTTACTTAGTGAACTAATTCCGTATGCGAAATGGAATAGGAATTTTTAATCACACTTCAAGAGCCTGTCCCACAACCAAATAAACATGAAGAGAAAGAATGGTGGCATCCAGATTATACTCGTACTTTAGCTGAAGAAATGTTAAAACGTATTCCTACAGATGGTGCATTTCTAGTAAGACCTAGTGAACAAGAGAGTAATTCTTACGCTATTTCATTCAGGTAAAATATTTTGAAGTTTCATTATTTTGTAAAATGATAATAGTTTTATTTTTTCATTCTTTCCTCTTATGTACAGAGCAGAGAAAAAGATTAAGCACTGTAGAATTAAGCAAGAAGGACGCCTTTATACCTTCGGTACTGTACAGTTTGAGAGTTTAGTTGAATTAGTTAATTACTACGGAAGACATCCGCTGTATAAGAAAATAAAATTAAGTCATCCTGTAAATCAAGATGTTATTAGAAGAATGGGATTGGTATGTTTTTTAAATATTATGTATTTATAAATTTAATATGATAAATAATATTATATACGAATTATTCTTTTATATTCAGGATGTAGACGATGGTTCTGTTTATGGTATTCCTGGTTATATGGACCCTACAAGTTTCACATCAAAAGTGAGTTACGATAATAGACATATATGTATAAGAAACGTGATACATTTCATTTATTTTAAAGGTAACTGTAAAAGCTATCTATGATTATAAAGCACGAAGAGATGATGAATTAACACTAGTAAAACATGCTATAATAACAAATGTACATCGACAAAGTGGTGGTTGGTGGCGAGGAGATTATGGTGGTAAAAAACAACACTGGTTTCCTGCTAATTATGTAGAAGAAATAGAACCTCAAGATAGTC